CGTTGATCTTGGTACTTCTCCGCTCGAGCCAGCCCATGTTTTAATTAAAAAAAAAATCAGAGACTACTGGATAAATTTAAATTAAATTGTATACAATAAAACACTAAGCCTGTAACTTACAATCAAAATGTTATTTTTTAATTTAAGATCTATTCCTGCAAATTCAGAACAAAGTTTACAATGTTTAGTCTTTTATCCAAGTAAGGAGCCAGGTGAGAAACAAACTCAAAGGCTACTAATAAATCCATAGATATAAAAAATACATGAATAATAATCAATGTGGCAATAAAATAATATTTTCTATTACTCAAAAAGATCACAAGAATTTTTACTGAATCATAACAAGAATTTCAAAATACGGTACCTACTGAGTTGGTTGTTTTATATACCGCCATCTATTAGTAGGTTTAGGTTTAGAGATAATTTATTTCCCATTAAGAACAAAGTTCACTTACATAGGAAACTTAAACTAGTAACATAATAATAAACATTTATGAAGTTAATGGTGACCTTATTTATACAAACATTCAAATATAATTATAAAGTTTGACAGTATGTTTTTAATTTAGCCTTAAATTTCAAAAAAGATTTTTCGTTAAATATTTCTTTCGGTAGATTATTGTACATTAGCGCTCCCTCAAATTGTATAGTTTCGTTACCATAATGTTTAGTTCTAGACTTAGGTATTTGTATTTGATGTATATTTCGTGTATAGTATTTATGTGATTTAGTCTTAAAAGTAGTTTGTGTGTGTATAGATCCTGAGAGAAGTTTTCTTATAAGTATGCATGTTTTGTATTTGTATAATTGTCCAATAGATAGTGTATCAGTTTTCTTGTAAAGTTCTTTGGTTGGAAAGCGGTAGTCCAGTTGGTGTAGTGTTTTTAATAGTTTGTTTTGTGATATTTGTAAATCTTTTAAATTAGTTTTGTGTGCAGATCCCCATACTTCTATTAAATATTCAAGTAAGGGTTTAGCTAATGAGTTATAAATAATAGTTCGAACTTTATATGGAATACATCGAACACACCTGCGTAAAGCTCCAGTCAGTGATGTTATTTTAGTTTGCAAATATGTAATCTAAATGAGGGTTGTCATAATAGTTTGTAATCTAATAGTAAACCAAGTAATCTAATAGTACTTTTCTGTTTCTGATTTTTGGAGTTTAATATTATTTATGGTTAGGGATTCGTAATTACGGTTTTTTTATTTTTAGCAGTAAAAAGCATACAGGAGGTTTTTGTAACATTTATACTCAGCAAATTACAGCTTGTGCGTTCGATGTTATCTCATGTATTGAGTCTCCAAAAAAGAATAGACTTGTGTCATCTGCGTATAATGACACTTCTCTGTGTAATCCCAAATAACCAATATCGTTAATGTAGATTAAGAATAATAGAGGGCCTAGGATTGACTTAAAGAATATATCAAATTAAAACATCTACTAATCTATGCTATCTACTCTTATAATGTAATTTATTGTTAACATTGAAAGTTGGGTTTAAGATTAAACATTATGCATCTTTAAATTTAAATAAAAACATATATTAAAAAAAAGGTATGAAACGGATGGATGTTAGTGAAAAGTTCTGTTTAAATGAAGCTGAACTATTTAAATGAAGTTGTCGTTGTGCAGAAACTGAGGATTAAATGAATTGTTACATTTACTGTTGTTTGTATATTACTTGTTAGGGAGCTATTTCACTATCACTCGCAAAAAAAAACTTTGTATGATATGTTCTGTTACAAATATTACTTTAAAGATCATTCAATAAAGTTGTACCTATAAAGATATTATTATTTCATTTAACTACCGTACCTAAATGTTAAATTATTATTGAGTTATACTTGTTGCATAATATATTTAATATTAAAAAAAGATTAACTTATGGATCAAAATTACTTTTAATATACAGAAATGGATAAATATCATAGAAACGAAATATACTTTACAAAGACATAACAAACTACTTTCAAACAAATTTAACAAAATAATATAAGTACAAAGAATAGTGTAAAAAATTAACATGTACAATTGTAAAATAAAATCACGTACATAAATATATAGCAGTTATTAAATAATATTAACAGTGGAAATACTTAAAGGACTCTGAAAAGTAAATATAATATACGTATTCTCAAAAACAAGAACAGAATTGAATCTAGTAAAAATAATATTCAATACAACTGCCCTATTGGCAGAGAGGACCTGAAATTCTCTTCGTTGGTAGTAGAAGTATTCAGTTCTGTCTGTCTTGTCATCCCAGAAGGGCCTGCTTGTGGCTCATTGTCTTCCATAGGCTGGTCAACACCAGGAGGCAGGATGGAGTCATGAGATAAGTCATCTCCTTCATTGGCTGCGTCTGAAATTGAGAAATATAACGGCAGAAATGTTTTCGATTTTTGCTTTCACTCAGTTAAATAAACATAGCCCTCACAAAGTGGTTGTAAAGCATCCCAATATCCCGAGCCCAGGGTCTCTTCTGGGACAACCGATCCAACGCACTCCAAGACAAAGTTATCCCAGACCCAAAGACCTCAACCTCTAATATAGAGTGTCTGATTCACTCCAAGACAAGTGCTCACATCATAACAAGTAACTCATGTCCCTCCCCTTTAACTGCAATACATTTAGATATTCGTGTCATAACACTAAATTAAAATAAAAAGCACAATAGGATTAAGTCTCAATATGGGTTTTAGTCAAAATTTCAGGTAAAATAAGAGAAATGCCTCACCATCAAAGAAATCAGAGTACACATCGTAAGTCCATTGTCCCTGCCACGGAACCATATATTCTTCAAACGCTTGAGTTGATCTGTCGTATGAGCCAGCTAACAGCTGTACCTGTAGAGTGTGATTATCTTCACTTATTATAATATGGTCAGCTATTCACCAACACTCCGCTGCACACGCACACACAGACAGACACAATGTACTCTACGCCCCGCGCCCCTCTCTCCGAGTGCCGTCCGACAATAATAAATAGTAGGTAAATAATAAGTACACGAAATAACTACATTATGATTCTTCTTTCCATCACACTCTTCAGGGTTTAGACACCACAATACCTACGACAAAGTTAAACACAGTCGGCGTGTTTAAATGGTGTGAATCAAAATATTTACAATAATTTAAAGATCATAAACAAACTTACAGTTTAATTTGCACTCGCACAGCTGTTTAAATTTAACAAACTACCGCTGCTGTAAGTTATCCAGCTTATGAATTTATTGATCTCTATCTTGTCCAAGAAAGTGTCATGTATGTTAATACGTCATAGACGAAGGTAACAAGCTATCACCATATTATAAAAACTATCGTTCTTAACAAAGCATTTTGACATTCTTCAAAAGGAATTCTTCAGAGATACAATAAAGTCATTTCCGAACGAACCCAAGTGTTTGTAGTGCTGCACCACTTCTCTTGTCATGAGAGCTTCAGACTGTGCCAGGTCCCCGCGCTCGACCAACACCTCCTCCGTCTATACACGTCACATAAAACTACACTTACTACACTACTTAAATCATTAGTATAGCCAATGCAAGCAGAACTCAAAAAAAAAATTAACGACAAAAACTCTTCTATTGTCAACTTATTACCAAATCTTATCGTTTAAGAGTTCTATAAAGTAAATCAGAATAAAGTATATGAACATTGAAACTAAAATTACGTCACTTATCAAACAAAATATCTCACCGTATGTGTGGCATGCTGTTCGGCCAAGGCCAAGCTCTTTGGTGATTCCCTTCAGACAGCCACATCCGGATCGCATCCTCAGCCGCCGAAGCTCTAAGGAAAGCCGCCTCAGCCTCCTCCGGGTTCTCTTCAGCCAGAACCGCTGCTTCATGCCTTGCTACTTCTCGCTTCGTATATTTGAATCTGACTGTTATTTTGACATAATAAGTAAGGCCAATATGACATTTAAAAGTACAATTTTGCAATATTACTAAAGGGGTCCTGTATCCGGAGGTAAAACATTAGCATTGATAATCGATTTCTTAACTGAATTTGCTTGAATTGATGGGTTCCTAAGAATTTGATTTCCATAGATAGGAGGCAGTTAGTCGGTGGTAGGTTAATGTTTGTGAACCCCTACCTGTGCGCCTGGAGGGCCCGCCTCGCCCCGAGTGCTGCCAGTCCCCGGGCGGTCAATGACCCCGCCCACTGAACAGCAACCTGCTGCTGTACTGTAACCGGAGCGTGGGCCCGAGCCACCACCCACTGACCACTCGTGTCATACAACTGGATGGCACTTTTCCACTCACCTGGACGATATAAGGTAAACTCACTAGTAGTTGACTATGTACCTGTAGTTGACCGCTAATGCACATAAACCGTTATAATAAGAGTTCGCGGCAATTTTTAAAACTCATTCGTTAATAAGTAGTCAGATCTGCTATCTGGTCAACTAAGCGCGAAAATTGCGCATCCATATCTGTAAAATATAGAAAGTAGCTGCCAGTTGTTTGTTGAGTGACGGACCATAAAATCAATAAATTCGTTTGTTGTTACAATATTCGCAAGGATTGAAAAAGTTTGAAGCTAAATACTAGGAACTTTGTCACCTTGTTGACGGTAAGTGTTTTTCGTTTCTTATTCATTTATGGTTTATTTATATGACAGGCTAATTAAAATTTGAAGATTTGTTGACAAAATTGAGATGCGGGGGTGGTCCAATACTGATTCCGTTTGACTGTGATTTTCTAGTAATTGACCATGGTGGTCCATTACCGAATTACCGATTGACTATGATTTTCTAGTAAATGACCATGGTGGTCAACTTTTGATTAAGTTCTGTATCTTACAAATATGCTGCATATAATAATTAATTAAAATAAACTATATTATTTACTTTAACAATATATTGATTTTCTTTAGTAGTTGACTAACTGTATGGTACGAATTTATGGCTATGGTTTACTTATTACTAAAACCAATTTTTCATCTTGTAGATGCCTGGGTAAAGGGGCGCATTCCTAAATTATACTGAAGCTGCAATGCTTGCAGCAGTGAACGATGTTCGTCTTCATAAAACACCAATACGAACGGCTGCAAAAAAGTTCGGTGTACCAAGAATAACGCTTAAAAATAACGGGAAGTCACTGATGGAACGAAAAATGGGTCCGACATCCATCCTTACACCAGAAGAGGAGCATAAAATATGGGTGCAAAAAAATGGCAAAAGCGGGTTTTCCTGTGACAACCGAATAGTTAATTGTGAGTGTAGAGAAATACTTAAAGGAAATAAAACGTCCATGTGTCTTATTCAAGCATGGAAGACCAGGTAGAACATGGGTAAAGGCCTTTATTCGGAGAAATCCAACAATTTCCAAGAGGATATCACAAAATTTGACAGCATCGAGAGCCAAGGTAACAGGTGATCACCTATCAGAATGGTACAAACGTGTGTATAAGGAGTTGGAAGAAAGTGGCCAGGCCTAATTATTATTATATTTCAAATAAAACGTTTTCTTTTCGTCTTATTTTGCTTTTTATTTAACAAATAACCCAATTAATACGATGCTACAAGCATCTGAGTGGTCAACTACTGATGCAAAATATGGTCATCTTCTAGTTTTTAGATGGTCAACTACTAAATTTCTAACATTAGAATATTTTTAATTTTTTTTAATTTTATTCGTCCATTTTACGTGGTGAAGTACTTGTTCATATGTTAAAACACTTTTCACAGGATTTCCCAAAAAAGAAACTTACTGAATTCATATGATAATTAAAGTCAAACATTTAAAAAGAATATTCTGTCTCCTTAAGTGGTCATCTACTGGTACTTTTACCTTATATACATATAAAATTATTTCTTGAATATAATAATGGAAACAATATACCATACAACATCATGTCTACAATATATTTATTTTCATTCACATGCATAATTTAACGGACCTAGAGGGCTTTTTTCTAAATTTTTTAAAATTTTAAAGTGCGTTGTGCTAATAGAGATCACGGTTCCTTCGGAAACCAAAATTTCGAAAGACCATGTGATCAAGGTCAACAAGTGTTACAAGCTCACTAACGAACTCACTAAGAATAGGTTCGTGGTTAATTTGTACGCTATAGAAGTGGGAGGAGCGGTATGACAGCCAAATCTCTCTACAACCTACTAAAAGACTTGAGCCTGTCCAGAACTAATATCAGGTCATCGGAACGTGCGTCGTAGGCAGCCCTAGTAGGTTCGTTTCAATTTTGGTTAGGTTTTCAGAGGAGCTTAGAGCATTTAACGCGCGTTAGATAGGGGTCTCTTGAAGCTCCTCTCCCTGCAACGCGATAGACCTAATGGCCACACAGCGAATCTATGGAACACTAAGAAGTTTGTTTTCATATCAATAGACGCATCGTTTTCCCTCGTGGGCTCACCGGCTTGTATGTAGTAGGTCTCAGCTCCCCCGCGGCTCGGAGGTCGCTGGCCGCCACCAACCGCAGCATCGACTCATACTGACACGCTTCCTGAACGATGTTTAACAGCGATTTAGGAAAACCATATATTCGTTCTATGCATATAATTAAACAATGTATATTTCAATATTTTAGAGTATTACCTTATACATAGACATAGCTTCACCTGTATCTCCTAGTCCTATATAAATTTGTTCAGCCTTTCTAAAGTGCCCTTCCTGTCGTAATTGTTGAGCGAGTGGTCAGTAAATATCTCTCGTGTCTTCTTCTGCCAGATGTGTAGCGGCAACACGTAGACCTTCCGACACTTTGCCCGCGGCGTTGTACGCTCCTACACATTTCTCCGCCATACCACAGGATATGAGAACTCGTTCCACTGTATCCCATTCCTGTGAATGTTTGCAAAAAAGATATTAATTGACATATGAAACCTACTAGAATAAAATAAAAATCGACCCAAACTTTGAATTCTTAAAACTTAATAAATTGATCGTGACGTTAAATCCGTGTGTAAAAGAAGAAATGAATAATTGAAAACATATTCGTTTACACCCTCATTGGATGTTTACATTTATATTTTTGTAACTATATACAATAACTAATACGGAATGAACAAAATCGAATTACGTTAATAACAATTATAAAAAAATAATAACTTATTCCTTTCGTTCATAATTAATATGAGAAGATATAAAATGATCCCCCAACTGTTCACATTGCTCCCGAATTGATTCTATATCTTCTATAACCTAAAGATATCAATGGATTGATCTACAATATATATATTTATACTAGAAGACCTGGCGAACTTCGTATCGCCCTATCATCAAGAAATCTCTATGTATTACGTTTTTTTATTTATATTTTTGGAGTTTACCTGTAAAACATAAATCTCCGTGTTTTGAAGTGCGACAGAATGATTGACATATTAGTTAGTTGTCAAATCTAATGTCAAAAAAAACGTATGTATGGGAAATAAAAACGGGCTGTTTTTATGGTTTTCCCAGTAATGAATCAATTTTTTTCAGCTTTTATACCTTCCCTGAACCTCCACAAACATTTCAAGACTAAGATAAGATAAATCCGTTCAGCTGTTCTCGAGTTTTAGCGAGACTAAGGAACAGCAATCCATTTTTATATATATAGAAGATATATTTACATATATATGTATATATATATATAAAAACAAGACCTATAGTAATATCTTATATCTTTAAATGAGCAATTCTTGTATATATATTTATATATTATGGGAATCTCGATATCGGCTTAAACGATGGCGATAAATCGATCTAGCTAGGAATCATTATCATCATTAATCATTTAGAAAATGTTATTTTACGTAAAAAAAATAACAAAAATTAATCGTTTAAAATATGACTCTCCCTGACATCTAGTGGCGAATAGTAATACTACTTTTTGCTACTTGCTTTTACTAATTGCTTTAACGACACAACAGCAGATGGCGTTGTGGATTACCAGGAAGTCAAGAATGTTTGTTTAAAGGTTAGATTAAGAGATTAATTGTTGATTTATATTATTTTCTGTTTTCTTAACGTGTTGAATTAAAATTCCTAAACGAAATTAAAAAAAAACACAAAATAAATACTAATGATTTCCTTAATACCCAGCAAAGCTCAGTAACCAGTTATTATTAATAATAGCTGTACAATTTGAAGAGCTTTTTTTTATAATGATGTGCCTTCAGAGCCGCAGTGAGAGCATCAACGGTTCGAGCAGCCTCTATGAGATGAGGTACAGCGGCGCCCGCCTGTCGCGATGATACAAGCCACGCGCCCCACTCTCCTTCCAACCTGGCCTGAAGAACAACAAATGATATAATAAAAATTAAAAACAAAAGTTTCAAAAAGATAGTACTAACTTCTCTTGCTAGTTGAACGGCTCTTGCGTAGTTGCTGCCTCTAGAATAGTAATCAACAGCAGTTCTGATATCACCTTTACGCTCGGATATTTCACCAGCCCTTTCCCACCATTCCTCCTACAAAGGAAACAAATTGTAAAGTTCATAATCTATGTCTCTAATAAGTGAATCTTAACTTTTTAAAATGAACAGTAATATGCAGGAATTACAGTATAAGAATAAATATTATTGTTTGAGACAGTTATATTAAAAAAATATACTTCTACTATTCTTTTTTAGTTAAATGCATAACCCTCGTCTTTAACTTGCATCATTCACACTTACATTATCTCTTCAATAGTATAATCAATAATACTAAATCAAAAACAAACGCTCATTGGTCATTTACGTATGTATTAAGACCTACAACGAATTGAGCAGGATCTTTTCATTACTACAACAAGACTATCCTTAGTGAGACCAACAAGCGGTATTCCCACAAATGGGTCCACACCATACTAACTGGCATTTTTATTTAGCTATCTGATAATGGACCCATTTCCTTCCCTATTTTTTTCCCACACAAATGGGTCCACACTGTATCTGATAATGCACCCTTCACCTATCCTAGTTGATCGTGCACAGCCTGCAGGAGCTCATCATCTGTCATGAGTGTGGGGTCATGTAACAGAGCGCTGGCAGCTCGTCTCGCCGACCACCCTTCACCCACACACGACCCGCGCCTCGCACGTCACCTGAGGACCTGTACCAACAAAATAATACTTTACTAGGGCAAATAGATTATTAGTGTTATTCTAACGAAGATATAAGATTTTATTAATATTTTTTTGCAGCGCGTAAAAATTTTATCAATCTTAAATTATATTCTGAACAGTTATAATTTTTTGCACCTGTTGACGTGAGATAGTCCATGTATTGCTGCCTGAGTGATGTCACCGCTTGTCTATCGACTCTTCCAGCGAGGGCGATGGCATCTGCCCATCTATTGACCTGCTTGTACATATTAATGGCCAATTCTGGCTGAGCGGCTCCACGTACGTAGTATTCTTCGGCGGTGGTTAAGTCCCCCACAAATATTGCTAGACGTGCACGAACCTCGAGACTCTTTAAACCTATGCATTATATTATAATCACGATTAATAAAATAAATACTATTAATACAATAAGTGCGTACTTAAAGAAACAGATATATGAGGTGTACCCGAAACGTTTAAATGCAAAAAATAACTTCATCAATATTCCCGTTCCCTTTGGTTGAAGCCAACTCGACAGTTTTCTCTATATAAAATGTTGTAGCCTCATCACCCACTGCTTTATAGCATTTCGTCGCCAACTGAAAAAAATATATATGTTATGAGGTACTAAAACGTTTAAATGTTATAATATATATTAGTCTTTCTATAATTTGAGCAGTGAGGAATATACCACCACAGCGGAATAGGTAACAATTAACCAAACATAACTGATTTCGGTATCAGGGTTGTCCAATCTACTTGAACCTAACATTAATGTAATTAAACCAATAATAAATTGAAGTAGTTATTCTAAAACCATTGGACAATCTTTATTTCTATCATATATACATGGTGACTCATAGGTAATGTCGATTCAAATGTAAGAATTTCAACGAATCAATTTAAATATGTTGGGACTTCTTAAATTTATCTCTAGCTCTACACACAGTACAGTAATTTTACTTTCTTTGAATAATTTTCTGTTTGTTTGTTGATGAAGGACAAGGTTTTGATAAAATAGTGGACAGGAGATGCGAATGTATGAGGTTTTGTTGAAGAAATATCCATGTTACCAAACCGTTTTTTTTTTTCAAGACAATTCTAAACCATAAATGACGAAAGTAACGCGGAATACGATCAAAGAACTTGGTGATGCTAAACTCCTACCACATGCGAAATTCAGTTCAGACTTTACACTTGAGATCTATGGCGAGATTCTTTTGTACAAAATAATTTGAATCCAACAAATGTTATTAAAGCAGTGAGACATTTTTTTTTGCATTTAATGTCAAAAAACCGTTTAACCTTAGAGCTTACTGCTCTTTGAGATAAAAACCATTAAATACGAGGAGCTATACATCTCATAGTAAGTCTATTTCTTTGCATTATATATTAAAAAGTGAATACTGAAA